CCACTGTTAATTATCAGTTCTTGTTTTATGGTGGGGAGATTACTGTATTTTGCTTTGCAGCCAAAGCTACCTGGTTTAAGGTGCGAAAAACACAAGAGGATTATGAGTAGCTCCAAAATGACCTTTCCAGTTAGGTGGATTGGGGAACAAATTGGCAGATGCAAGTATGTATCAAGTGATGCATGCCAGGTCAATAAAAACCAAGTTTCACCTATATCCAGATGAGCTCTGAACTAGTGGTCACAGTCCCCCCAAAAGCTAGGGACCATCAGGAAACAGACAGAGAACAGAACTACCAGTACAATAATATATACAAATCCTTGATGTGGCCAGATTTTGAATACTGTGTACAGCTTTGGTCACAGGTCAAAAATAATATTGAAGATCTGGGAAAAGGCCAGAAAAAGGAAACAGATATAGTCATAGGGTTGGAGCACCTGCCCTGTGAGGCAGAGCAAAAGCACTGGAGGCTTTTTAGTTTAGAAAACAGGCAACTGTGTGGTAACAAGAAGTCTACAAAACTATGTGTGGCATAGAGAAAATTGACAGAGAATCTTTTCTCCTAATAGCAGCAGACTCAAGACAAACAAAAGTGGAGTTGGCTGATAGCTTAGATGGACTTAAAAGGGGATTGGACAGCTTTATGGACGATAGGCCCATTGCTGGCTATTAGCCATGAGGGTAGAACAAGCTCTGGATTCACAGTCCTTTGATTATCAAATGCCATGAAGCAGTCAGCAGGTGAGGACTGCTGTTAGCAGGGACTTTCTTGTAGCATCAGACAGGTTAGAAACGGGATGCTGGACTAGATGGCCCATTAGTCTGACCCAGCATGGCAACTCTTATGTAACTGTTACAGTGGCCTTACAGTCATTTTAAAAAGCATCGGCTTTGGCGATAAAGTAAAACACAGTTCCTGACCTCACTCCTCTCAAGCCAAGAATCAATAATTTGCCATGAATTTTTGAATGACTTAGTCAGCCTCACAGAGAACAGGAAAACAGGAAGAAAAGGAAAGGGAGGAAGAAGCAGAATCTACAGTGGATGAGAATTACTTTTAAGGATAGGCTTTACAGGATTTTTATGGGGAATATAGCTCTATTACATGATACGAGGAACTCCAGCTTTAACCCTTACAGTCGATTGCAACAAATGAATGACTGAACTGTACAAAAGTGTTGTAGTATGGCAGTGGCCACATACAGAAACTAAAGACCTACTTTATGTGCTCATTCTTACTATAAACAATAGCTTCCCATAGAAATTTCTTTTAACACCACCCCCATTTCAGAATAAGCACTGGACAGCTGCTTTTTAATACCCCATTACCAGTGTTTCTATATTATCTATGAATTGGAAATATTAATGCTGAGCATAACAAGGATTAATTATGGGCAACTGCTGGCAGTCCAGATCCAAGCCAAGGAGCTCACATAAGCAGAACAATCACAGGCAGGGTGCTGCGAAGTATGTAGGCAGAAATTTAAGCATGACTGCACTCAGCTTGCTGGCCTCCCATAAACTAAATGAAATTAGCTCTAATTTCTTTAAGTATTTAGATGTGGAACATTCCTCCAATTACCAGACTGATGTCTAGCCACAAAAACGACAAAATGTTGTTATTGTAGTTCTTGCTTAGTTGTTTCCCACATACTTGTTATTCTGCACGTCTGTCTCAAACAAGTGCTTGGAAATAAAAGTGTACTCAACGCCGTCACTTTCTTGGCTTCTTCGTGCTCTTGTGGTGTCTGGTTTTGATAGAGAATTAAAAACTAGCTTACAAAAGGAAGAAAACAAACAAGAAGGTCCTGTACCATTTTGTGCTGATCACCACCACCCAGTCATAATGCAAGCTGTTTCTAGGGCTGAAGAAAACTAAGTAACACACTGGGGTGGGGAAAGGGCAAAGAATCTTTTAATTACTCAAAAAGAGCTCTTATTAACAAAAGGTTTGGTGACTCCTGCTCTAGCGGCTTCAAATACACAAGAAGTGGGAGTCAGAAGAGTACAAATCCACACAATGAACACACATCACTCCTAAAATTGAAGATTTATAGTCTATGACTGCTTCTGTTTTCATATTTATCTTCAGAGCAATTAGATTATGTTTCATTATTAAATACTGAAAGTAAATTATTTTGTGAAAAACAGCTTGTTTTCAAAATGTTAGATTGTACAAGTTCTATCTTTGTTTCATTTAAATATAGTCATACAGTGTTCCTTAGAACATGTTACTGCATACATTCCCCAAAACAGTGTGTTTATGACAGTTTGTATGACATGATAAAAACCATTTCAAACTTCAGAAAATTTGCTGAAGACCAGTGCACTAGTCCTACTTCTTCCCATCCCTGAAATATCCTTATTTCAGCAATGCAGAAAAAGCAAAATTTTGACCTCTCATCATAGAGACTGGCACATATCCTATCATCACTCTGCTCAGCAAAGTCTGAAAGCTTCCTTCAGCTCAAGGAGCCTTCCTCCAACTTGTGGCTCTTCAGTCAAAAGGAAGAGCCACTTCAGTTGGAGGAAGGCTTCAAATACTGCTGAGCAGAGTGCTGCGATACATGCTACTGTTTATTTTAGAAATAAGATGCAAAATAATATGTTGTAGCACACTGTCTGCTGCCTTTTCTGTTTAAAAAAAAAGGTTGTAAGCTGTATAAAAGCTTGCTACTTGTCAAACACCTAAAATTGTGACTATATGACGAACCTGTTACTCAGATTTGAAGAAGCCAACATTTCAGACACAGTCACTTTCTAACAATGACACCTTGCTAGTATCTATTCAGGAGGCTGAAATCTTGTCTTGTCCATTAAGCTTAGATGTACAGATTCAAAAATTTAAGCCACTGAACAAAGCTGAAATGCCTCCTCATGACTGACGTCAGGCAAAGATGCCATTTATGGTAACTTCTCATCAGCCTCTGAACACATACTAGAAAGAAGTTGCTTGCTTTGTGACTTATACCACTGTACCAATAAGATTTATTTACTGCTACCACAGTGCTTGCCAATCTCAGATGGAAGTGTGTTTCCAAGGCTTGACTCCAGTATGCACAAAAATGAGATGCAACCCAGCAAACCCATTCTGTGCCTCGGAACGGTTTTTCTTTTGCAAACTAACAAACAAGTAGCTGTGCAGCACTAGAAAGGTAAATGAGTGCAGGCCAATTTTGTAACAAGCCCAGAGACTCTGCTGCTCCCACCCAAGAGGAGTACAAACTTCTGCTGCCTTTGGCACTTGTGGCACAAGTTGAATAGCTATGCTCTACCATGCTGGTAGAGTACATTTCTCCGTTTCCTATCTCCCATGTAGATTTTAAATGAGAACTGAGTGTTCCAAAATATCTGGCAATTTACAGCAACAGTGTCAACCTTATGCTAAGAAAAATACTCCAAAGAAAAACACAGCCAATTTAAATTTTTAATCAAGGAGGAGAGTACTCTTAAAAAAGTAATTTAATATGGATGTGCATATCCAAGCTTAAATGTACTGACCTTATGCCAACTTAAGCAAAATTCAACTGATACATTAAGGACTTACAAAACAGTTTTTCACTTACGTGGCACTGTTACACCATAATGCTGAGTATCACTGATCAACAATTTCCGTTTAAGTTCATTCAGTCCTACACCCACAGGACCTGAAAGTTTAAACACATTTTAATCAAATATCCTTCTTTGATTACCAACACCACCACATACTATGTTCAGATGAGAAATCTGAGAGGCTATTCTAGAGACATAACACCAAAAAAACATTTGTAATGGAACAACTCCAACATCAGCAGTATTCACTATGCAGAAGTAAGAGACTGCCAAAGGCCTGAATTCACATGACTTGCGGGATTCACGGACTCTAGATCCATGCTATCTGTGAAATGAAAATCCTGTTGCCTTTTTTGTATATATATAAAAAAAAAAAGCCTGACATATATGTTGAGCTGACCAAGGTAAAAAAGAAAATATGGGCAGAACAAGAGGATTAAACAGAGCTCTCTAAAGAATCAGCTCTGCACAACCATTCTAAATTCAGCATATCTACCCATCCTGCTCACAAGGATTCTGAGATATGCAGACCATGGGTTGGATCAAGACTAAATTGACAATTTCCTCCTATTATCCTTCTTGTTGCAGACCCCCTCCTGACATTCCACAAGGTCCCAAGTCTCCCAGGAGTGGTATTTCCACATCAGTGAGCTCTAGGGGGAGGGGGGAGGAAGGAATGTCCCACTCTGATATTGGAAAATTTAGTCTGGATCCAACCCCACATCTGAAAGTGGGTTTGACTAATTAAAATGTAGTGTTCTTTCTTGAAATCTGAACCACTTCTTTGGTAAATGTCCTATAAACTAACTGATCTCACACTGTGTTCTTGAGGCACTTAGATGACCAGCCAGGTCATCTGTACAGTCTCCACCAAGGGAAAGACCTAATCAACTGGTACCGCACCAAGTGATGGTCTGTCAATTTTGAACATCCTGCCCACCCCCCTTATGCTTTCTTCACACTTGCTTAGTGTATACTCTCATCAGACAGAACAAAGTTTGAGTCTAGTGGCACCTTTAAGGTCAACAAAATTTTATTCAAGGTATAAGCTTTCCTGTGCAAGCACACTTCCTCAGATTCTTCAAGTGTGCTTGCATATGAAAATTTATACTGTGAATAAAACTGTGTTGGTCTTAAAGGTGCCACTGGACTCAAACTTTGTTTTGCTGCTTCAGACCAACATGGCTACCCCATCTGAATCTCTCATCAGACAGTGATTTGTGGTAATGACAAATGCTCTTTTTACCCTTACTGGGGCCCACAGGGTGATACCCCCTCCTTAATCTGCCCTGTCCCTCCCCTGCCCTTCTCTGACCCCGCCCTTACCAGCTTGTGCTGACTGCAGCTGTGGCTGCAGCAGCTGTGGCTGCAGCAGCTGTGGCTGCAGCAGCTGCAGTGCACAAGAGGAGCCTCGGGTGTGCGGCAGCTGGGACTGCTCCACCGCTCAGGCTGGCCTCTGAGCCGCCACTCCACCGGCTTGCAATATCACTGCTCCTCCTCCTCCACCACTGTAGCTACATGCTCTCTGACCCTTGGCCCAGCTTCCTCTTCCTGTTCCTGCCACCACTGCTCCTTCTTCTTCAGCTTCCCATGGCAGCTCCATCTCTCAAGCCCACTGCCATTCCGCCACCAGCCACTGCCACCTCTTCACCCACCTCCTGGCCACATCCCCCACTCCTGGCAGCTCCCCAGCAATGCCAGAAGTCAGCAGAGGGCAATAACCTAAACGACCCAGCGGGAAACAGGGACAATGTCCAAAGCAGAGGGGCTAGTGATGTAATTTGGCAAGAGGAAGGCAGGAAGGAAGTGGCCCCAGAAGACCCCCAGTCAGAGTTCCCCAACCTTTTTAAGCCTGCAAGGCTCTCTCTTAATTAGATTACCACTAATTAGATTAATGCAATGCAACACAGTGCTTTTGAATAGGAAGCTAGCTGTCAGTAAGGAAGCAAGAGTATTATCTGCCATGGCTAGCAGCAGCTTGGATGTCACACACTCTCCCAAGAATTTACCCATCCTGTAACGGATGGCAGGGAGGAGCTCTAAGAGCAGCCACCATTACCAAGGCTGTTCTTAGTTTCCCCCCCACTAACCAGGAGCCGTGTGCACCTTCTGTTTCCGTGTTTGTATAATCGTTAGGGGAAATACTCTGCCATGACTCATTCCTGCATGTCCCAAGGTTAAATTCTCACACTATTGTTATTTTAGTCTCTTTCCCCTCAGAAAGTGGTTGCTAATGGCCTCCTCTCTTTGTGTTTTCCTCAGGAACTCATCCCATGGACATGATTGATCCAGCCCTCTTATTTAAGAGGAATGGCCACTTAGTTTTAGGGGCCAGAATAAAGCTAAACACTCATCCACTGTCCACATTATGCACAAGGAGTCACAACAGTATCTGGGATCTGTGTACTATTCCCTGCAGAGCAACCTTCTACAAAAGGGTGTTTTTCAGCTTGAATCTTGTGAGGCAGACATGTGGAGAAACACATTCACCTCTTTTGCCAGAGTACAAGCGGGGAGGGGGCAGTCAATTATTCACCAGCACCCGCTAAGCTTTTAGATATGCAAATAGTAGGCCTGGTGGACACAATGAGATGGTGAAGTCACACACATACACTGCCAGCTAGACAGGTGATATCTAGCAAGGGACAGGGATTAGGATGACTAATGGAGCTAGAAAGGCTTCAGGAAAAATCCCTGGAGACTTCAAGAAAAGCTTCTTTGACCTGGCTTGACCTTAGGGTTGCCAGCTTTGGGTTTGGAAATATCTGGAGATTTGAGGGTGAAGTCTGGGACAGTGGGTTTTAGGGAGAGGAGAGACCTTGGTACGGTATATTGCCATGCAGTCCACCTTCCAAAGCAGCCATTTTCTCCAGAAGAAGTGGAATAAATGTTTTAAGTAAGTAATAAATAAGCAATTTATGTTGTCTGGAGATCAGTTGTAATTCTGGAAGATTTCCAACTCCCACCTGGAGTTTGGCTATCCCTGGTCAGTGGGAGGAGAAAGAGAGATAACGAAACTCTTGAGAGTACGAAAAGCCTCTGTTTTGCCCTGATTCTATCAAGACAGAACTCTTGCCTGAGGTCTGCTGGAGGCAGCCATTGCCATGGGCAGAGGCTTCAAGGTAATGGGAATCATAGAGATCCAGAAACTGAAGATGCAGGAGGATAGGCACAGTGGAAGAACCTCTGCTTTGCGCGCAGAAGGTCCCAGGTTCAATTTCTGGCAACTCCAGTTAAAAGAACCAGGCAGAAGGTAATGTGAAAGACCTCTACCTGAGACCCTAGGGAGCTGCTGCCAGTCTGAGTAGACATTACTTTCCTTGATGGACCATTGTAAGGCAGCTTCATGTGTGTTCACGTGTGATGTGAAAGTGGTCTATGTAAGTGATACAATTGACAAGAGGTGAATGATCCCAAAAGTAATTTAAATAAATGTGTCAAGGATCAGCACAGCAATTATTTCAAACCATGTGTGGAAGTCAGGCATGTGCTTCTTGGAGAGATAACGTGACTAATCAAGATATTTTTAAAACAACTTATTTTACTACCAATTAAAAAGCACAGACAAAAGTAGAGACCATTTTACAAGGAATTTAGATTCTCTCAATTAGAATAAAGTGATTTAAAACAAAGTTTACTGAAATATCTTCCTGGCAGGCAGTTATTTTAAGTATATTCCAACACTAAATTGTGTTTTCAGTTAGTGTAGCTGAACTTTTTTGCCATGACCAATTATGTGAAAATTTAATTATTTGTCCTTGTGTTTCCTGGCACTAACAGCAAAACTGTACTTCACACGTCATATTGGATACTGCTACTAGCTTGCAGAAAGCTTTTAAATCTGATCATTTCTACTGTCCCTATAACAGTGCCAGTTTTTCCACTTTTTACCCAAGACATTTTTATGATATTGGCCAGACTTTAGCTGCCCTTAATACTAAGAGAAAAACATCAGAATTACTGAACTCTGCAATAAATTTGTGGACTGCTTTTGTTACTGTAAAAGCATACTTTCTTCATTTGATTTATTACCACCAAAATAAAATGAAATTTCTAGATATTCCTCAGAGCCAGCATATGTGACTTGTTATAAAAAGCCTACTTATCACACTTTTCACAGAACTCTGTTGATATAGGTGTAAAATCAACTCAACCGTGTTATTACTTGCTGTGTACAACCCACAATCTCTGGCTCACAGTAGTAGGTGCCTGAACTTGCACGTTAAAGAATGACAAAGCTGTTTATTAAAAACTGATTTTAAGCGTTCCCTTGGATATGAGCTATATAAAAACAGCAGCTCTACAGTTCATAGCAGTCCCTGATAGAGGGTCATATTTCTTCTGGTCTGCATCTTTTTCTAATGGAAGAAATTCTGCTAATGAAGCATTAGCCTATATACTACTGCAAAAGAAACAAGAATGTAATGCAACAAGTACTGGAAAAAAGAGTAACAGTTGTACTTTAACCTAAATTTAGGAAAATATTCCTGAAAAGCTGGAACACATAGAAAGAGGCATCAGACTCTGAGATCATTGACTAGACACAAGAAACCCCAAGGTGATTTCCCAAGGCATGATGGTAGAATTCCTAAAGATCCATCTTGTTAAAAACTCACTCTTCTCTATTCTAAAGGATTGGTTCCAAGGATGCGCCAGTGAAATTCTCAAACTTCAAGCAGAACCTCTGGAGCAGAAAAAGGGTGTATGAAAGAATATACTTCCTTTCCTCTCACTCTGTTCAACCAGAAACTTTGTTTTTTCACTCACTTTTAATATTATTGCTCATTCTCCCCCACACACACACATGCAATACCCTCGAGACTTCAAATTCACGCTCCTGCATTTCCATGCAAACTAATATACACAGTGGTCTCCCGGTATCTTGGAAATGAAATTTGACGGCAGCTTTCAGCAGTTAAGAAATTCTTGGTCAATTTCATGTTCAACACCCTGGGAGAGAACTGTGTATTATTTCAGCAAATTATGCCAGGTTTGTCTCACTACTCACCGGAACTCCCATGATCAGGATATGAGCCAATGAGCAGTCTGTAAACCGGAAGGAGGTGGGAATGGAGCCTGGTTTCATGATGAAATGCAATTACCATCTGATTTTGAAATCATCCCTACTCTTATGAATGGTGTCCATTTCTGAGACTGTGATGGGCTTAGCTATACAGACACCATAACTTCTACTGGAACAATGAATGGTTCATTATACCATTACGAGCAGCTATTAGCTGCTAGACTCCTTGTTACCATTTGTTAGTTATAATTGAATGATTCTGGACTATTTGAAAAGCCAGCAGGGGACTAACAAAAATGTGAAAATATTGTGAAGAACAATATAACTTGTATATAAAACACAGCACATAAGTAAATAATGTTTTGAGTATTATTTGCTATGAAGTTATATTCCTATGCTTCAGTACTGGTATAACACTAGATATTGCCTGTTGGCTGAGTATACCCTTGAGTCATAGAAAACGTATAAAAACAACATTCTAATAATTTAAAGGAAGTACAGCAGATGAAGTCTGACTCCTATGCCAAAACACCTTAATAAGAAAGCTTGTATTAAGACTGCAGTCATGTTTGGGAATTACTAGCTTTATAGTAGGTTAAAAAAAATTACAGAGAATGGGAAGGGGCAGGATGAGAGCTTCATAACCATTTTAAGTTGCTTGCTTTTTCAAGGCCACACATACACAAAATTCCAAAAACCCACAGCAGATAACACACATCTCCACAGCATGAACATGGTTGAACTTTTGGCCAGCACTCTAAGCAAGCTTCAAACTCTGGGGGAAAGATTTTGCAACCGTTAACCAGGAATTTGGACTTTTGTCTGCCCAGGCTCTGCCTTGTGAGATAGGGACAAGAACAGCAATGTAAGCCTGTAAGTGTCTGCAGATAGAATACAGCTACTTGGCTTCTATGTAAAGAAACAGGATTTCTTGTTATGGGAGAATGAAGTGATACAAATGTTAGCCTTTTTAGAAACTGAAAATCACTAATGCAGACAGTATTCTTCTCTGTTTTAACTTATAAACTCATACCTTTCCTCTCAATTCATGGGAGACTTTCCATTAGGAAAGGGAATGACTGTAGCTGCAAAAGTACCTCTTTCATATTAAAAAGCAGGGTATCCACTACCTCTGCTTCTGGACCCTTTACAGTCTGAAGAGAACCGTCCCCTGCCCTTACTGTTTAAATACAGGGAATCTCCACATGATCTGGCCAAAAAGGGTAGGTGAATTTTTAGCAATCCATTATTTGTAAATGACATGACTATTCTGAGTCCTCTGAAAGGATATACATGCGCATTAGCTTGTCATCATAACAAGCTGCAAGACATTCAAAATGGCACCATACTGCTGGGTGACCATGAAGTGGCAAGACAGAGTGAGGACAGTGAATAACCCTATCCTTTCCATGAGTTACAGAGGACTTGGGGAAACAGCAGTTATCAATGTTCCACTTCACAGTGGGCTTTGGGAGCAGTTGTGAGCAGCATCTTGCTGCCACTTGAGTGTCTTCACCTCTAGCTAAAAGTGAGAGGCTGATCTCTGCCCCTGCTGCAATCCTCAGGGCATGCAAGTGAACTGGAACACACTGGCAGAATAGAAAGCACTGTCCGCCTAATTGGGAGGAAGCAATCATTCCCTTTTCCAGGTTCTTTCCTCCCCCTCTAGCATTCTCTACCAACTATTTGTCAGTGAGATGTAACCCACAAGGTCATCTGTCCCACATGGTTCCAGTCAGGAGAGGTTGTGAAGCAAGGATGCATTCTCGCTCCCTTATTATTTAACTTCTATATAAACTCCATGGTGCAAACCTTATCCAATCCTGACTTCCATCTGCCCAATATGGCAAATAGACCAATCTCCACACTATTATATGCATACAATACTATTATTCTATCTTACTCTGAAGTAGGGCTCAGAAGAGCCCTCCTGGCATTTAAGGCTTACTACAAAGAGGAGCAGTTAACCATCTTTTAAAGACCCAAATTCTTGTTTTCCCTAAAAGGTTTATCAAACACAGGTGGCAGACTGACGGCCATGATATCGAACAAGTTAAAGTGTTCAGATATTTAGGTGTAGTGTTCCAACCAGTGGAACCTCTAAGCTGAGTTCATGTGAGTTAGCTCACAGTTTTTTAGCCTCCAGCTCACTCATTTTTGTCTTAGCTCAGGAAGGATGGCTCCAAAGCAAACTAGTTTATCCAGTAGCCAAATCGCTCACTCTTAACTTTAATGCCCGTAGCTCACAAAGTAGAATTTTTGCTCACAAGGCTCCACAGCTTAGAGGGAGCATTGGTTCCAACCTTCTGGCTCATGGTCAACTCAGCTTTCCCTTGTAACTGAGTCTGCCCAAAGAGCAGCTACAGCAACTTTAAAATTCTTTTTTACAAAAGGGGTTTCTCACATACCATATGCATTTAAAGTCTTTCAGGGCAAGGTGGTACCCCAGCTTATGTATGGTTCATAGACATGTCTGTACAGTGACTACTGTAAACTAGAAGCAATCCAGTCCAAATTCCTTCAATCCTTATTTGGAGTACTTTGTTGTGTACCCAATGCCCTACTTAGGCTAGAAGCAGGGTTGGTTCCACTTGGAGTACGTGCCTAGTTCCATGCTATATGCTTCTGACTGAAGTTAAATCTCTCCCCCCTCATATTAACTTCATTAACCCTCTCAGACAATTTTCACTGAAGGTGGGTAGTAGAGGACAAATTGCAACTAATTGGTTTCTCCTATGCAGCCTGACTTGGGTACTCAGGAGCCAGAACACTAATCAAACAGAGACTACGGGATACCACCCTTAAAGTCGACAGATCACAGGCCCACTCTGCTCCAACAGAGGGGAACTGTAACAAAAACTTCACTCCATCAAATTACCTTTATACATTAGAATTCCCAAAACACTGCAGAGCCTTCACTCCAGCCTGTTTCAATGTCCTGCCATCTGCCTTCCTTCAAGGGCGATATGCATGTACCTCATATGTACAACATCGCTGCCCATGTCAGTCTGGAATGGTAGAAGCGATCGAACATGTCCTCTTACACTGTGGATTTTACCAGGATACTTGGAATACGTAAATTCTGTCCAAATATCCAAGTAAATCAAATGATTTTTATATTTCTCTTCTTCTTGCCAACTGTTTTAACGAAAGTACCCATAAGGTAGCAAGATTCTGCACTCTGGTATACTTAATAAGGCAGAAGAACGTAGTCTAGTATTTTAATAATTTTATTATTACTATTAATTGTCTATTTCCTGTACAGAATAGCTATTTTATGCATCCAATGTGTATTGCTGATATTCTTGACTGCTGACCTTGGATCGTAATAATAATACTAAACCTGAGTCCTCTACCATGCATGGAGAATTTGGGTGGATCTCACAACATGTGCCTCCACAAGGAAGAGATTTGTGGTCAACTGAAGCACATTTATTGAATTCTGTTTCATTGTTTAAAGAGAGCTTAACAAAAGGACAGTTTTTAGAATTGTAGAACTTTTATGAAAATCAAAAGATATATGCAGCTTTGGAACATTTGTGGATAGCTCTCTAACATCATGAACTATGCAAAAAAATTAATACATTGGGCTAATTATCTTTTTAATTAAACAGGATTCTGACAATATTGGTTCTTACAGTTACAGACAATCCTGACAATAGCTGTAGGAACACAAAATAAGTGGGCTGCTGAGTGAATTTCCCAAGGTTGTAGGACCTGTGGTTAAATTCTGCTCCTCATAAATAAATGAACAGTAATAATGCCAATCTGACTGCAGTCCTGGTTCCAAGAACAGAAGATGCTCAGCACATGTACTTGTGGTTCATCAAGAAGCTAGGGCTACATGATCATATGGTCCTGTGTGGACCAAGACCCAGAAGAAAGGGAAGGAGATACCACTGAAGTGTCCAAGGATCAATTTATTAGGGCTCAATGTATTTCTGAGTCAAGAGACTTCTCCAGGGGCAAGGAATCATCTTCTTCTGAAGAACTGCTTAGTTTTACACTGTAAGAAACTATGGATCAGGCACCTATACCTTAGAATCTAAGCCATAATTATTAACTATGAAGTGCAAATGGAGCTGCTTTCTCCTCTACCCCCTTTCATCACAGCCTATTCCCCTCCAAAATTGTGCCCCAGACGTACCGTGGAGGTTGAACTGAGGGACTGCAGAGAGAGGATGGAAATTACAAAAGTGCCCTTTCTCTCATGAGCAAGTGGCAAGCAAACAGGGAGATAAGCTAATAATTATGACATTCATTGAGAAGCTGTTTGGTCCTTATTTTTGCAGCTTCAAAAACATGCCAGTCTTTTAGGAATCTCATTTGGCTAAAGGCGGAAAAAAAGAAACAACACAGTTCAAGCTCTGTTTTACTCAACCTAGCTTCCCAGTTCAGGAACTAAGACTTACCAACCAAGACAACAAGTCTGTATTTCTCATTAGGTTGCCGTCTATATTTTGCTACCTCCTCATAGGTTGGGACATCTGCTGTATCGTATTGATCACTCTTCTTGCATTCATACATAGTCTTGTTTGTTTTTCGGTCTTTTCTGCTCAGACGAAAGCTTCTCCTAAAACCAGCTGTAGTCACAAGATTTTAAAAAAAGAATCAAGTGTTAACTGTAAGTAAACCAAGCAACCATCCCATATGCAACAAATGCACCCTTGCATTGTGCTGCTTGCAGCTTCCCTTCAGTGTCAAAATGCAACCTGCCGCAAAGGCACTGCAAACAGCTCTTCCTCCAAAGTGCTGATTTTAAGGACTATTTGTTGCAGAAGAAAATGAAAATGTTTCAGAGGAGTTTGTAAAAACCTAACTGGTATAGCAGGGGATGGAAATCTGTTAACACACTGACAACATGAAATATGTTCACATATTCAAATTTATGGCTGCTGCCATGAAGATTAGGGAATTTTGCATTAAATGAGAGAAAAAGAGAGAAACAGACAATCACGATTTTAACAATTATTTTCCAGATTAACAGAAGAGTCCCACAGGCTACAAACTGCCAATTCATCTACACATGTTCCCAGTTATAGCTACTATCATATATTTAATGCCCACATTGGTTCAAAGAAAGTCAGTTTAATTATGAATGTTTCTTCAAACGTATTACGAATGTTACATCCTTGCATGATGTTAATCACTGTGATAACCGATAAATCAGTGGTATTACATTAAATATTACATAAAAACCACAACTAACAAAAACATATTCAATGTATTATGCAAAAACACTAAGTTTTGAAAAGTCAGTATGTTAGTAGTCACCATGGCCAGTAAGAATTTCCATTTCTTTAGGTGTTCCAGAGCCCTGTTCTCTGAACATATGTATCCTGTGGCTCACTGAGAAGTGAGAGCAGTGATTCAGCTTCAGCCACAGGGGGATAGATCAAGGCATTACACTGACTCATATGCCCTTCCTCCCATGCTGCCCCATCTTTGGCGCCAAAGTGGGATCCTGAGGCAGTGGCTCTGCAACTTGTCTTAAACTGTGGCTGGGCAAGTATCTCCTCCTGTGATGCCCCCACCCATTTGGTATCCCAAGAGGCTGCTTGCATGGTGAACTGACCCTGCAACCACCATGTCAGAGTCAACCCTAATTTCCCTGTTCTTGCCTCCTTCTCTCCACAGCAGTCTCCAATATATTTGCAAACTATAGTGCTGCTCAAAAACATGTAGTATGGAATCTAAGGTCCTTAACACCTTGGGCAAGAGACGTGAGTAAAGATCCTGCAGAAAAAGTCTGGATTGAACTGTAGGCACTACAATTTCTTCTTCTTCCGCAGAAAGTTCTCCCTCTTTTTCAGAAGAAGTGGAAATATCTGGCTCAGATTCTCCATGTCTCAACAGAGGACTCCTCTCTCTAGAGGGTGATTTATGTTTGCTGCGTTTTGAGCTAACAGGGGACCTAGAGACACAGGCTACCCTGTCTCGGGTTCTCTTGAGACTCCTGCCCCTTTCCTCAGAAGAGTCCTGTGAATTGGAGCCTTGAAGAGTCTCCCTAATCAAATCCTTGGACTCTCTTCTCATTTCCCACCTGAACCACCTTAGCATATCAGGGTTAATGGCTTCCCTGGATTCCATGCCTGTGTTGGCCATAGCTTCCTGGCAAATCTGGGACGTTGAGGGCCTTGCCTGCATGACGTCCCCAGTGGGACTGCTTTGGGCCACCTTCTCAGTCATATTCAAAAAACCTGCGAGGGGGGGGAGAGGGAAAATGAGTCTGATATCAGGCCCAAAGTAGAACTAAATGTCTTCCCCCCAGTCCCTAATAAGGGATGGGTCCCCCCTTTTGCCCCCCTTGTCTCCTTAGAGGAGGTCTTTTTTCTCCACAGAGAAAAAGCTATTGGGCCCAGGCAACCCCAAAATGGCCACCGCCACTTTTTTCCGCCTAAGGGACAATAGCCCGGTAAAGACCCCCCCCATCTGAGGGGTTTTGGGAAGGATATCAATCGAAGGATTGGAGAACCCCCCCCCCTCCAGCTTCTGGCGGAGCAGAGATTTCCAGGGACAATGTAGGTGTTCTCGTCCCTCAGGCTTCTTGCGAAAGGGACAGAGATTAACCCGGCGTCAACCTACTGGCTATTGTCTGCTCTGTGTCCCACTCCTTTGGACGCCTGCCAAAAGCTGGTTAGGGAGAGACCTGAGGTCACCCTGCCGCTGTGTCTCCTCACCTCTGCACTCCCTGGCGTTGGGAGCAGGCCCTCCGCCCCTGGGATGGATAAGGCCGGCAGAGACACGCACCTCGGGGTGCCAACGCGCCTGTGGGCCGAGAACCCGACGCCGTCAGTAAAGAGCCCTCCGCTGCGCTGCCCGGCTATTAAAAACAAGCCGTCACGTCTTCTTTTTCTTTCTTCCTATCTTCTGTTTCTTTTTCCTCAACGTGCGCTATTCAGCGCAGCCAGAGCACATCCTGCTGAAGGGCTGGCAAGAGAACCGGATAGCCTACAAGGGGATAAGCCCCTCCCCCGGCTGGATCAAAGCTTGCAGCTGACCCTGAGGAAAGAGGAGGAGCTTATCCCAGACGTAAGGAACCATGACGAACCACTGGAGAAAGAGACCTTCCTCCTTGCTTCCAGGAGTCTTATTTGCTCTCTTTTCCCCACCCACTGACCAGGTCAGGCTGGGTCAGAGAAGCTTCCCCCTGGAGATTCTTCCTGGAGTTCCTTCCTGAAGTCTCTATAGGTATTTAATTCCTCGAAATCTCTGTTCTCTGCTTAGAGGTGGGGGACGGGGATGGGATGGGGATTGGATTCTCCTATTGTCTCTAGCAAGACCTATTAGCATTTCTTAAGAGGTAGCTGAAGTGAGCCTGGAAAGCCATTGTCTAGCTTCCTCCTCCCTGCCTGTTCTCTGCCCAGAGAGGGGAAAAAACCTCCAAGTAAAGGTCTTGCTCATTTCAAACCTCCAAAATCCTTTAAAGAATGCTTTTATTTCACCATAGAGATTTTTTTCTGTAATGATAGCAGGGCTGCTACCGATATATAAGCTAAAATATCAAAATTAGTTATGTACCACTATCAACAACTTTTTATATACTTGACTTTTTGGCTTGACACAACAAATATAATTTGAGTTATATGTTTTTGGCTCCTTATCCAATTCACAAAAAAAAACCCCAACAAATTGAACAAACTTACTTGTGATAAACCATGTAGTTTTCTCTAGAGGAAAGAGCCCTGATATTAGGAATGGCTACTGATGTCTTGCATTTTAGTATTACAGTTTACCAAAAGAAAAGTGTATTGCTCAGATTGGGAAACCAAGTCTCAGCAAAGACATTAAGGCAACATTAAGCTGAAATTTGCTTGATGCTGGGCTGCTGAGCATAATTTGTTCCTCCTCCCCTCTTCTTGCCTGGAGTGCAAGGAAGAAATCATGGTTTAAAAGTAATGATGTATGAATGCAGGTGAATGGGTCAGTCTTCCTTCCACAAGTGGAGATTCTGGGGGCTGTATTCACACACTATGGGGTAAAAGAAGTGAAATTTAAACCAGGACTCCATCATATTTTGTGCAAGAAGGAAAGGGAGAATGGAGGAGTGAAGCGTACATCCAAGTTCATGCACATTCAGACTCAGTGAAAAATGTGAATACAGCCAGATTCCATAACCTTTACAAAATTAACATGACCATGGCACTGCTGAGACTCCAGTTAAAATTAGTCTCAACCTCAAAAAAATTGCATTGGAAAATTATGTAGTATGCAAAAGTAGAACATTCAAATGCAAAAAGATTTGCTGAATGTTGGATTTCTAGTTTAATTTACAAGTACTGTCCTAAGTGGAGTTACACCCTTTGAAGCCCACTGACTTCAGTGGAAGTTCAAAGGGTATAACTCTGCTTAGGATGGCACTGTTAAGTCTTACTTAGCACCCTACCCTTTGAAATCAAGCATTACATACATGGTACAACACATCATACTGTGTTTTACTTATTATGAATTTGATTCTGGGGGGGCAGCCATTACAAGCCATGTCTTCCAGAGCCAGAGACTTTATGTCTTAATTAGGGGTATATATTCGGCTGTATTTGATCAGAAAAAACTGTTCTTTCAGCTGGATATGGGGGGGTGGTGTTTTTAGCTACTGAACATAGCCAATCCCGGATAATCCTGAAAACAGGATAATCGCAGTATACGCCCTTTAAACGCTGTTCCAGGTGAAGCTGCAGCTTCACAAACACATTTAAAGGGACTGTGACAACTTTAAATGCCTTTGGCTCCATTACAGCCTATGGGGACCATTATAGTCAATGATCCCCATAGGCCATAATGGTGAATCTATCTGGGGGTATGTGGGAGTCTGTTTTTTTATGTAGAGGCACCAGATTTTCAGCATAGCTTCTGGTGCCTCTACTCAAAAGACCCCCCCAAGTTTCAAAAAGATTGGACTGGGGATCCAATTCTATGGGCCCTCAAAGAAGGTGCCCCCATCATCTATTATTTCCAATGGCAGGAAAAAAACAGCAAAACAACAAAAAAGCAGGGACTGATGTCAAACCAGAGAGTCTGTGCTGTAGAAACTGGGGGGGGGGCATTTTTCCAGAACCAGTGCCACTTTGGCCATGCCAGCTCAACAAATCCAAGCAAGGGGTGTTTGCAAGCAAGGTTCCCTCTAAGGTGCGCAAGCCTGCACTGGCCCACAGATTTCCCCCCTCCAGAAGCTACCTCAAAAAACAGCCCCTTGATCCCTGGATATCCCAGACAGATTCTCCATTGACTATAATGGTTCCATAGGGTATAATGGAGCTGAAAAAATTCAAGATTTCTGGGGGAAAAAACCAAATCAGAATACCATACTGGCACTGGAATTTGGGTTTTCCTGGAATCCTGGATTTTTGGCGGGTCCAATATATCTGAATCTGAAACATCCCATTTTTTTTGTGTGTGCACACCCCTAGTCTTAATCTGCATCTCACCAGGGTAATTCACACTATTTAAAATCCTTTAGTTTTTTATGCAGTGCTATTTTCTAAGTAAGTATTACTATATACCAACTATGCAAGAAACTTTTATTTCTGTTCCATGGAAAAACAGTCCTCTGTCCAGTTCCTAGCAACTCTTGACAGACACAAAA